AAGCGATTTAATTTTTTTGGATAGGGTATAAAATAACTGCGAAAACCATAAAAGGTTTTCGCACCAAAGAAAGGGGGGAAAAAAGAGTTCTTTCTTGTTGTTGTTACTACTCAATGAACAATTAGTTCTCTATTCTCCTAAACACATTAAGGTGCTGTTAAGAGAAAAATTTCAAAAGTGTCAAGAAGACATATCCTAAATGGAAAGAAAGTTGAAAAGATAAATAAAATGAGCATTCCTTTAGCTATATTTGGTGGAGTCCTGCAGAGAAAAAATATTCCAGCCGGGCAGCACTGAGACATAGTTTATTAATGCAGTTTCCCCCACAGCAGGACATAGAAAGAGAAATTGGTAAAACAGTCACATTAAAAAATTATGACTCCTACATCTGATCTTTATGAATACACAGAAAAGAAACTGTCCTCTTGAGTCGTCCTTGGGCCATGTTAAGGCAGAGATGCAAAGGATTTCTTCCCCCTCCAAAGCCTCACAACAGCACTATTTGCTCACACATGGTTGGAACAGACTGCAAGTTACTTTCCACATTAAGGGAATCTTAAAGGTGTTTATAAGCAGAATTTAGGGAAGATTCGGAGCAGTTCTCCCAAATATATTTTGAAATAAAGCACTTCAGCCTTCTGTTTTTTAAAGAGTATACCAAATTGAAGCCTGTGTTCCTTCTGGGGAAAAACTGTAGTCAGTGATAAACTGGTTATAAATGGAATTCTCCGGCATCTTAGAACTGGAAAGGAGCTTACCCATCATCATCTAATCCAGTGTTTTGCAGGGGGTAGTCTGTGCCCCACTAATGAGTTATGAAATCAGTTTAGAGGGTCACAGCTAACACTGGGAAGTAAAGGGAGAGGAAGGATAGACTAAAATTGAATCGAATATTAAAAGCATTTTGCATATACTGCTTTGAGAAACTTTTGTTTCAGTTGTATGCCTCTGTGTGCGTGTTTCTGTGTGTGTACATGCTGGTTCACAATGTAAAGTGTGTGCCTTACTGTGAGTTCTGGTCAAAAAAATGGGAAAGTCACCAACGTACTCCAACACTTTCTGTTCCAGGTAAGACAGATGGGGGGAAATGACTTTCTCAAGTGACATGTGCGTCAGAAGGAGCCCCTGACTCTTGGGACTCCCAGGATCCTTAACATTCGACTCTAATGAGGAAAGCATACTTAGAGGTGGTTGTCAACTCGTGCTCTGTGGTTTCCATACCAACCCTGCAGCTGGCATTCTAGTCCCTTCTGGAGCAATGGCTGTGCTCCTGGATGAACTGGACTCCCCTTTCTCCTTCACTACTAATTCTGCCAACCTTTCACCAGATAGCATCAGTGGGTCTGTGAGATGGAGCAGGTGTGTGGATGGACAAATAATCCGCGCTGGGGCTTGGATGATCCACGACTACTGGATAGCTCAGAAGGTGCAAAATTCCACAGCTCACTGCAGCCTGGAGTTGAAGAGCCACATGAGAAACAGAATCACAGCCTCCCGTGAAAAAAGAGGGGGTGCCTGTGACCACTCGCATAGAAGACATTCTCGGAAAGGAGACAACCAGCTGACAACTGTGGGCTTTAGGTAATTTCTGCCAGACTCATGCACTCTGGCTGGTCTTCCTGAGCCAAAATAGAAGCATGCAGAAAGTGTTCTATATAGCTGCAAAGATAAAGAAGGATTATGAAAGAGGATCCTGCCTGGGACTGAGAGTGCCTCTGATTTTGACTTAGAGGAGAAAGTGATCTCCCTCACCAAGAAACAAACACTTACATTGCGTTTATTATGTGCCAGGCACTGTTCTGAGAATATTAACAAATATTTACTCATTTAATCCACATAATCAACCTTTAGGCCTTACAGGACTCTCCTAGCTGCAGCCGTAGGCAGGTTGAGAAGAGTTGAGATGTGTTAAAATGTGTTTTCCTTCCTGACTCGAAGACAGGAGGGCAAATACCCTTAATAGTGTAGAACTACGTCACTGACGAAGGGAATTAATCAATTCTCAAATCCAGGGAGAAAAGGTCAACTGCCTACTTTCTCTTGGCAGAAGGAATTGGGAGGAGGATTGTTCTTGCAAAGAGTCATCACTTTTTGATGCTTTCTAGAAGTGGTGCTGGATCTGCAACAAGCCATTTACTTAAAAAAAAATTACCCTCCTATATTTGGAGGATAGCTGCTTTGGTGTGAGGCATCTGCTGGGGTGCAGACGCCACACTTGCAGGCCCATGTAGAGATCAAACCTGTGCCCTTGGCCTTATCCAGTGCTTTGCATAGTGGCGGGAGACGGTCCTTGGTACTTTGTTGAATTCATTTATTACACTCCAAACACTGAACCTGACCTTGGAAACTCCTAGGTTTGGTTTTGATGATGAAAATTAGTTGGGGTTTAGTGTAAGAAGGGCAAGAGGTTTTATAAAGATGAAGAGGAGGTGAATTTTTTTTTGAAGTACCTATTACATGCCCCTTATGTTTTATATGTTAACGTTAAATCCCACAATACTCTGATCGAATTTCCATTTCATAGATGAGGGAACTAAGTTAAATGATTTGCTGAAAGTAAATAGGTAGGGGACAGAATTCAGAATATAGTTTGCCTGCAGAATCCATTACTCTTTCCACATCATGCTGCAGCCTGGAAGTTTGGGTTTTCTTTTTTGTCATCTGAAAAATGATTTGGCCCTAGCAGTATTCACTGACCATGGCAAATCTTTAATTGATCTTTCCATGCCATAGCCTACCGATTATCCACGAGGAATAGCAACAGTTAAAGCCTGTTCTCTGTAATTAAGTCTGGGTTCCCTTACCAACTCCACCATGTAATTAAACTTATTTCTCGAACAGGCAGATATGGTTCACTACAGAATCTGAGAAGAGCCATTTAAATCATGCTTAGTTTCTTGCTTTGGGTTAATGGCCAAGTCTGGGCTCGGAACTGAAGTTTAAGAGGAATGTAGGGAATGTTGCTGGCCCAGAACTCACCAGGGTTGACTCTACACGGGAGTCAGGGTGTATTTCCTGCATGGTCTGTGAAACTTATTTCTGCTCATTGTTTTCCTCGATGAACATGTTGGGCAAAAATGCAGGTTGCTAAATATTTATCCTTTTCTGGGAACAGCCTTGGTTGACTTACGCAGCAAATCTCATATAGTTATCAATCATCAGAAATGGAAAATGCTTCTTTTTGAAGGGTGTAATTATCAGAGGTCTCACATGAACAGTCTTAAAAAAAAAGATATTTCCCGTATCAGTACATTCTGTGGCAGCACTAATGAAAAAATCTGGCTTATCCCACAAAGTTTATGGACTTTACTTTTTTTTCAGTTGAAATAAGATTTGACTTAGCATCAGGCACTGAAAGCGTAAGGATGGTATTAAATAGTGAAATTATACAGGCTGTGTTGTAATGTGGAGTGACAAGGGGAACCCACAGAGATTCAATTATCTTCAGGAGTCTATAAAACCCTAGGCTCACAAATGCACATCAAATAAATAACTATTAGAGTAATCAAAAGTTGCTTTGAGTTAAAAGTCATTAAATAAAAATAATAGGCAAGATCACTTGGACCCAGACATCAAATAAAACGTCAAGATAAAACACCGGTGGGTTGTAAAACAAACACAAACCAAACCCCTCTCTTCTTCTACCATGGGTCAAAAAAGGAGCTTAAGACAATCCGAAAGTATTTCTAAGTTTGCAGTCCCCAAAATGTAAGGATTCAAAGGTCCCATACAAAGTACTGCCCACTTTCTTGGTCTCACCATGGCTGTTCTAGGGACTTAGGCAATTAGTACCTGGAAAAAAACCCAACACAACCTCTTAAGAGGGTTGGATGAGTCCTGATCTCCTGGATGCAATGGAATTTATGCCAGGAGATTTTTTTTTTATGCCAGGAGGTTAAAGAGAATAATTAATTTATGACTTTCTCTGTTTGCAATATGAGCTCCACTTGTTATCTGTACATATTGTGATGCATGGTAATTACAATGCTGAAAAAACGTGCAACACGTGCCCATTGTAGTTAGGCTTAAAAAGGGGGCATTTGTCATTTTAGTCCACACATCTGGTTCTATCATATTTGCCAAATGACTAATATAGGAATATATCACAGTGAAATCCTTTTATATCACAGTTTTATTTGCCAGGAAATAGAATATTTTCCTTCCCTCTCCCTCCCCCACATTCTCCACTGAACTCTGAAATTTCCTGCACTAGGGTTCATTTGAGTGAACAGGACAGAGAAACTGCTCTTGTCTTTGTTCAATTCTGTTAGTTCCGATAATCACAACTGGGATATATATGCATCCTTTGTTTTAAAAAGCACACACACAAGGGAGAAACCCTAAAGCTTATTCTAAAAGCAGGTAGGGCATCAGAGATCTCCCACAATTAAAACCACAGAAATTAAATTCTAAATTTTAAACTCCCTTTTATTGAAATATAAGTTTGTTTAGTATATTTACAACACACTTTATGCACATATATACACAGAAGGCAAATTTTGTCAAATAAAAAAGTTTTTCTTAATAAAAAACTAAAATAAAAACAAAGTAAAGTGCATGAAACTCATTTTCTTCTGGTGAACATCATCACTGTCAAAATTTTGGTCGGAGGGGAGGGGGGAGGAAGAAGAAATTCATTACTTGACTCTGCATACGGCCGGTCCTGCATTTGTAGCCTTTAGGCCAAAAAGACATGTGGTAAGGAACAAGTCAGACAAATTGTCAGGGTCTGGAGGACCCCCCCCCCCGCCCCCCCGTTCTGAAGGTCCTGCTCTCTTTGTCCTATCGGGAGCCTGCCTCTCCCCCCCCCCCGCCCCCCCCCTCCCGCTCCTAACAGTGATCTCACCGTGAACGGTGCTGGAACAAAGGCAGAACACAGGAAGGGGGCTCCACCAGCCAATGTCACAGCCCTGCTCCGGGGCCACCAGCGCGGCGTTTGGGAGGAAATGCACAATTAGCTCAACGGCTCAAATAGAAGTTTTCCTTTTTCGGAAAGGGGAATGAGGGGGTCAGGGAATGGGATGCATCTCCCACGGAGACGGCCAGCCGGGGGCCAGACTCCGGCCGCCAGTTTCTTCGGATCCAAACTCCGTGCGGATGCAGGGCAGAATCCTTTTATAGGCTGGGCGGAGGGGCTGTTACACTTCTCGCCCCGGTGAGTTCGTCCTCCCCGAACTTTGAAAGGAAACGGCGCGAGGCTGAGAGAAAGGGGCAGGTGGGTGAAGCCGTGAAGTTTCAGCCTCCATCCCGCCGGGGCCGCTGGCTGGGCGTTGGCCGGTCCCAGGCGGTGGCCGAGGCGACGGCCCTTCCCCCATCATCCACTCCCCAGCCAGGGGTCTCGCCCTCTCTTCTTCCGGGGGACGCTAAGTCCCCGGTCGGCGGCCGTACTTGGCCTTACAGTGCAAAATGTGCTTGGCGAGGAAGTCGAGGCGGCGCTGCAGCAGCTGAGCGTGGGGCTCGGCGAGCGCGGCCAGCTCCGGGAAGCGAGGCTCGTGGTGCCGGTAGAGGCGCAGCAGCCGGGCGGCCGCGTCCTGGCCGCGGTGCAGCTCCAGGACGCGCCGCGCTGTCCGCTCGCGGAACACGCACACCGACTGCAGCAGCGGCTCGTTATACTTGTCCCACATGCCCGCCACCCGGTAGCCGTGCACCAAGCCCGCCTCGTTGTCCAGAAAGACCAGCGCCCCGCCGGGGCCGCGGTGCAGGTTGCTGGTGGCGCGCTGCATGACGCGCGGGTCCCACTGCAGGCTGAAGAGGTTGCTGACGAGCCGGTCGAAGTTGGCCGTCAGATAGTCGAAAAGGATCAAGTCGGTCCACTGCACCAGGTCCACCAGCTCCGCCTGGCTGCGGTTGGCCAGCTCGCCCCCGGCGGCACGCAGGGGCCGCAGCTGGCCGTCCTCGGAGCGCCAGGGCGCGGGCACCACCACGTCCGTGAGGTTGGGCAGCCAGCGCGTCAGGCTCACCACGCTGCCCTCCGTCCAGTGCGCCGCCCGAAGCTCCTCCTGCACCTGCGCCCACTGCGCGCCGCGAGCCTCCACCCGGGCCAGCGCCAGCGGCGGCACGTGGCGCTGGAGGCCCAGCAGGCGCGCCAGGTAGTAGGACAGGGCCTCGCCCTGTATCTGCTCGGGGTTGATGCCGTAGCGCACGCAGGCGCGGGTGCCGTCGGAGAAGCGGGCCAGCCGGTTGGAGCTGCGCCCGCAGCCGCCGCGCTCCAGGGCCACCACCCGGGCGCCGCGCACCGCCTCCAGCCACGCCGCCGCCTGCGACTCCGAGAAGCCGCTGGGCACCTGCTCCTCCAGGCCGCGGCTCCAGAAGACGCCCCCGTGCACCGCGGCGCGCCCCTCGGGCCCGGGCCGCCCGGCGGGCACGTGCCGACCGCGCTCGCCCGGGGGCCTCCGGGCCGGGCGGTCCGCGCCGGCCGCCAAGGTGAGCAGCGCCCGGAAAGTTTTCAGGGAGCCGCCGCGGGCGTCCCGCGCCAGGGGCGGGGGCAGGGGGAAGCGAGGCGCGGGCCCCGGGCCGCCGCTCCGGGCCGGGCGCCGGGGGAGTCGGTCTTCGGGCGGCTGGGTGCGCGGCGGCAGGAGCCCGCCCCACAGCGCCAGCAGCGAGCCCAGCGCCAGCAGCCAGAGCCCCGCGGCGGCGGCGGCGGCGTCCCGCATCCTCCTGCCCATGCTCCCCGCCCGGCCGTGCCGGGGCCGCCGCCGCTTCAAGCCGAGCCCGGGCGCCCCGGCCCCGGCGGCGAGGCGGGCCCGGCAGCGTGCTGGCTCCGGGGCTCCGGGCGCCTCAGCCCCATCGCGGCCGCGGGGCTCTGCCCGGCGCTGGGAACTCGCCGCGCCGCCGCTTCCCAGCTGCTTTTGTATTTCGCTGTGAGACCCTCGGGCGGGCGCGATTCACAGGCGCCCGGACCACGTGGGAGCGAGGGGGATCCCCCTCCCCCTCCGCCGCCGCCGCTCCCCGCCCCTTCCCCTTAAAGCGGCGATGGCTCCTTCCAAGCGGGAGAGGCGGCCCCACTTCGGTCGGGCCTGGTGGAAGCCGGGCTAGCGGCGCCCGCGCGGGGGCGTCGGAGGGGGCGGCGCCGAGCCCGAGCGGCGCGGGAGAGGGAGGGACGCGGCTCTGGCCCCGGCGGGGGTCGGAGTGGTCGCCGGGTCCCCTGCGCCGGGGCAGCGCCTGGCCTCCTGCAAAGTTCCGAACGACCCCTGCCGCGCTGCGGGCGCCGCCAGGCGCGGGTTGGGGCGGGTCCCTTCGGCTCGTCGCTTTCCGACGGTGTGATTCACCCTGCCTTATGTAAATCCACGGGAAGCTCTCCGAGCCACAGAGACTGTGACTCCAGCCCGGTTAGAGACAACTTTGAACCGACAGCCCCTGTTCGAGCGCGCCTACCACCGCCGGTCACTGCGGGCGTGTGCGCTTTGAGGTTGGTCGTTGCGTCTTTCCCGAGGGACTCACGGGGAATTAAACGTCGCTGTGCAAGTAATACAACACCTAGGCTAGCTCCCAGCCGTTCGTTTATCCGTTCATCGAGGCTTGGTCTCAGGGCAGTAAAACCCACAGAATCTCCCCGTGCTCCTGGAGCTTACGTTCCAGGGAGAGGTTCAGGTTGCTATGAGAACATTGTAACCCAGGATCTGACCTAGTGCAGGAGGGAGGGGTGTCAGAGATTCTCTCTCCAAAGAAATGATATAATTTTGCCCAGGAGGAAACTGAGGCGGAAAAGGCTTGCTCAATACGGCGGACTTAGCCAGTGCACAAACTAAATAAAATTCAAACTCAGACCGTCTGGCAGCACGCCACCTGATTTTCCCTCCATCAGGAAAGCTCATTATTTTTTATCAAGTTGCCAGCATTTTCATTTTTTTTTTTTAACTCACTGTCATTTAGCCACTTGATTCTCCAAATGTGATTTTCATTTCAAATGAAACAAAAAATCCCAATATTACATTTGACTTGCTGGTTTAATGGTTTCAGGGAAAAATAAATGGTTGGGGGGCGGAGGGTGGTGGGGAGGGTGAAGGGGAAAAAACCCCCCAAAACAATGACAAAAGAAACCGCACTGTCTTCCAGGGTTCAAGCCACCAAGAAGGCTCTTGGGCAAGAATTGGCTTCCCCCCTTCCCTCTCTGCAGGAGTGTGTCCCAGATCCAAACCAAGATTCCCAGGTAAGAGGCAAGATTGGGGGTGGGGGTGGACTCCACCTCCTGGAAGCAGGAGTTAGAAATCTGTTTTTTTTACATGTGTTTCTTTTCTTTTTATCCCCCATCAGGTGCACATGGGGGTTTTCAACTTTATTAGCTCATCAGCTGGCACCGATTATATTTTATTCTCCAAAGAATGAATATTTAGAGTTATAGGGCAGACACCCTAATGTTTGTGGCTGAACAGAGGCATCAAAAGACCACATCTGGAGCCTTCTAGAGCTGACCCCGTATACCCTCAAGTGTTTCCATATTGGCTGAAGTGTGGAGTCTTTGTTGAATCTGTTCCACACCACGCAGCTGTATCATGCCTTTTTTATACATCTTATCTGATGCTGCGGTCACTATGGCTCCCATACGTAGGCATCAAAACATAGTAATTCATTAAAAGGTACTGTTCCTGCTCTGTGTAAGCTCCTCACCCTCTATGTTAACCTAGAGGGCAGGGACTAATATTTCTTAACCTTTTATTTCTCTTACCACTTAACATAGTGTATTACACTAAATAGGTGCTCAATAAATTGAATTTGATTTTTTATCTTTTGGTTTAACTTCTGAGAATCTTTTTAATGCAGTGCTTTTAGCTTGGGTAAACCGTAAGCAAGATTGCCACCTTGTGGGCCTAAGTGGAATATCATCTAATTAGAGAAATGTGTATACATATTTAAGAGGATGATTCGTTATTTCAGCCAAATTCTGAGCATATGAGGTGGCTACCACAGCCCGTGACATGTCCTAGGTGCTATGGGGAAAGCCAAAGTAGTTGGTGTCTCTGTCTCTGAATTACAACGGATAGTTCATTGTCATTGTCTGAGGAGTCCCTCTGGTCTATTTTTCAGGGCTGCCTGGCACAGGGCCTGGCACTTAGTGAGTGTTCAGTAACAATTTGCTGAGTAAATCATTGGAATGTTAATGAGATTTTCTGCAAGTGGCATGTATTGATTTGAAAAAAACCAACTTACTACTGAAAGATACAGAATAAGAACTTTCATTTTAGGGACACCTGAGTGGCTCAGTCGGTTAAGCACCTGCCTTCAGCTCAGGTCATGATCCCAGGGTCCTGGGATTGAGTCCTGTATCAGGCTCCTTGCTCAGCGGGGAGTCTGCTTCTCCCTCTGCCTGCTGCTCCCCCTGCTTGTGCTCTCTTTCTCTCTCAATCTCTCTCTTTCTGACAAATAAATAAATAAATATCTTAAAAAAAGCTTCCATTTTATTTTATTTATTTTTTATTTTATTTTATTTTTTTTAAAGATTTTATTTATTTATTCATGAGAGACAGAGAGAGAGACAGAGGCAGAGGGAGAAGCAGGCTCCCCACGGAGCAGGGAGCCCGATGCGGAACTCGATCCCAGGACCCTGGGATCATGACCTGAGCCGAAGGCAGACACTTAACCGACTGAGCCACCCAGGCGTTCCAAGCTTCCATTTTAAAAGGAAGAAAATATTGGCGAAGGCTCGGCATAATGTAGGAAGAGGAAGCAGGTGACTTTCATTTTAGGAGGGCTGGCGTCAAACACAGATACTCCAAATCCCAGAATCTTTCCATCATGTTCCTGGTATTGATGAAGAAATTGGGTCTTAAAGAAGTTGGCTAAGATCTTACCTCTTGGAAGAGGGCCTGACCTTATCTTAGCCCTTTGCCTGCAGCCACAGGACCCAATGCACCATGTACCACGATGGGAAGCCCTAATAGTAGCTTGAGCAAGTGCACCGAAATACAGAAAAGCACCAAAGGACTAAAACCAAATAAAAACTAAAAAACAAACCCCAAGTGGAATGCCATTTTAAAGTAGTATTTGATTATTTTAGACAGCGTTAAAATATTGAACACGCTCATCTGGTTTACCTGTAAGATGACAATGTTCCCACTTGCCTTAGCCTCCCAGCCTGGGGACGCTCCCCTCCTCCACTCATGGCCAAGCCCTGCGGCTCCTTGGGAGAGCACTGTTCATCACAATGTACAACCCCTGGCCCTCCTGCCCTTCTGGCAGTTGCTTGGGGATGAGGGAAGGTGCTGCTCATCTGTCCCTACCTAGGAACCTGTTTTCACCTCGAAAACTTTCTAAACATGCCTCAGAGCTTCTCCCTGAGCCTCGACTTCCAATTGCTTCAAATTTTTCCATAGTCCCACTGGAAGAATGATCTGGCTCATTTAACAGTGCCTCCTGGGAAAGGGGGGCAGGTGGCATTGAGCACTGGGAGCAGGGCAGGAGGCTCGGAGTTGGAACATGTCCCAAGTCTGACATTTCCACATTCTGGCTGTTTCCTTTCTGGCCGGTTGTTTCCCTTCTATGAGTTTGGGTTTCCACATCTGAGAAATGAGGATAATAAATCCTGCCTACCTCACACAGTTGTTAGGAAGTGCTAGCGAGACATTAATAAGCACTACAATGTTGGCGGCAAACACTGAGTGCTTATGATGGGCTTGGCACAGGGCTTTATCTGCTTCATCTGGCACGCACATGTTTCCAACATATAGGAATGTGCCCACTTTGCAGATGGGAACACTGAGGCTTAGCCAGTGACAGGCCCGCAGTTGTATAGCAAGTAAATGGCCAGGCTGAGATTCCAGAATGATGGAGGACAAACCCTTGGGAAAAAAAAAAAAATACTGGGAAAATGTCAGATATAAAAAATTATTGCATTTAATCAAAGTAGGCTTAACTCAGATTAAATTTTGCTTTGAAATGTTCTCAAAGGTTGCTACTAACTGAAACGGTTAAGAGAACGGACCCTCAAGCCAAATTGTCTGGGTTTAAAACTTCCCAGGTGTGTAACCTTGAGTAAGTTACTTACTTGGCCTCTGTGTGCCTCAGCGTACTCATTTGGAAAATGCACTTATAACAGTCTTATTGGTGTTACTAACACTGACCATAACAATTATGTAACATCTGATGATTAATACTAATTAATAGTAACAAGCCTTGTAGCTTATTGTGAGGATTAAATTAGTTCCTCTATTTTTTTTTTAAAAGATTTTTATTTATTTGACAGAGAGAGATATAGCGAGAAAGGAACACAAGCAGGGGGAGTGGGAGAGGGAGAAGCAGGCTTCCCGCCGAGCAGGGAGCCCGACGTGGGGCTCGATCCCAGGACCCTGGGATCATGACCTGAGCCGAAGGCAGATGCTTAACAACTGAGCCACCCAGGTGCCCCAATTAGTCCCTATATTTACAGTGCTTAAAAGACTAAGAGTTCATGCTTACAGTATTTGTGTAATTCTGTGCGTGAGATGGCCAGCTCTGTGACCCCGGGCAGCTTTCTAACTTCTCTGGGCCATAGTTGTGTTATTTGGGTCTCTCTCCTCCCCACTCTTTGTCCCGCTAGGGTATATTATTTTCCTGCTTGAGGATCATTTTCCTTTTCTTGGTATGTCTCTATTAGATTATGAGCTCAAGAATTGCTTAACTGATCCTGTCCTCACGTTCTTGGCTGTCAGAGGCAGGTATATACACACGTTGTTCCAGGTAAATCCTACTGTATAGTTAGAAGGAGGTCAGGAAATGTGATAGTCTTTGCAACTCGTCTGCCTGCCTGAATGAGTCCCACTTTTAAGAAAACACTGTATTTCACTATGTTTCTGGAAAGAAAGTCAGGGTTGACATAAACGTGTAATTTATGGTGAGACTAACATTTTTATGAACCTCTTTATTCCACGTAGCTCTCTTTTGACCTGCTTTTGAAAAATGTTCCTATAGCCACTAGTGTTAGAAGCAAGAATCTAAAGGTTAGGGCGTTGGTGAATTAATTTAGTAAATTTGAAAGCCATTGCTGACACGCATCTCAGTCACGTAGCATCATGCTCGAGTTACAGGGTGTGGTGGTAAAAATTCTGGGCTTGGCACTTAGGGACAGGAGTTTTCTTTCTCTGCTATAATTTAGTTCAATTGCCATTTTTTGTTCATATGTGGAAGGCCAAGAACTGGGCAGTAAGTGACGGGGCATCTGCTTTTCTCTCATCCTTAACGCCGTCGGGAGCTTTGGTTGCCTATCTTCTCTTCAGCCTCCTCTTCCCTTCCTTCTTTCTGGCAGCTCTTCATCCTCCTTCTGCACCTGGTGCTGGAAGCGAGGCTGGACCCTGATTGGGTGAAGCCAGTCGTGGTGCTTTCA